AAAAAAAAAAAATGTATTTTGAATTGTTCTTAAATATCTTATACGATTCTTTTATTACAAAAAACTTGAGATTGCAATATATGACTAAAACTTTTTATTTGCTACTCAACATAATTTTATATTGTTAAATAAATTTATACCTGTACGAGAAATACTGCAACATTTAACGATAGCTTTTTAGAGTGTCAGAGAACTGAGTGGATTTTTAAAGATTTTGCACTACAAATTTGTTTATTTAAAGTAAGGCCGGCTTTTTATTTATAATTTAGGACGTGGCTCAACTTTTTTATTAAGTCTTACAACTTCTTAATTCATTAAATAATATATACGCTCTGCTGGTAGAAATTTTTCTTACAATATTAAATATTGTTGAGTAGCAAATTAAAAGTTTTAGTCATTTATTGTAGTATAAAGTTTTTTGTAATAGAAGAATCGTATAAGATATTTAAGAACAATTCCAAATACATTTTTTTTTTTAAGCTACAGTAAGCATTAAAATGTACATGTATAAATCACAAGCTCAGATGTGTAAAACCTGTGAATAAAATCATAATATTTATCACATTAAAGTAAAATTATTCTATTAAAAAAAACTGTTATGGAGTGTGCGAAAATAGAAAATGTCGTTTTTTCGTACTGTATAAAATAAGATTTTGTGAAAAATTTAATTAAAATTACAAATTAGGGAAGTGTTCTATCAATCTCATTAAAAAACTAATCTTGAATGCATAAATCGAAAGAAAAAAATTATTTTATTGTTCAAAATAAAATTGTATAACGTCTGGAGAAATTCGAAAAAATTTCATTGTTTGAATTTTCCCTAAGTAAAACTAAAATATGTATAAGAATATTCTTTTAACCTTTATAATACAACAATCTGGTTAAAAAAAATCAATAAATCGTCAAGAGGTATGACAACCTTAAAAAGCTATGACGATTGCTTTTCCCAAGCCATCGTAACAATATAAAAAAGTACTCCTTCTGAGTCCTGAATCATTGATATCGGTCGAAAAGTCTGAGATCACACACATGCAAGCATACGAATACGCACATAAAGATTTATATGATCTACCAAGTATTTACTTACTTATCAATGTTACTATTATTCAAATTATTACATTTAAAATTATGAATTAGCCTTGACAGCTATAATTTTTAACGTAATAAATTATTTAATTGTAAGTTGTTGCGTAGGATTCTACGTACGTGACAAAGTATAATTAAAAAATGGAATTTTTTCAACGTGCCCGAAAAAAAAGTGTTGACAATATCTATAAATTAATACAAATAAATACAAAAGTTACAATGAGAAATTAAAACAGAATACTGAATTACATTGAAAAAAAAAAAATCTGACGGCAGTCAGAATTAAACCCCAAATTGCCAAAATATGTCATCGTAGGCATAAGCCCTAGCCACCTCAGCTAATCAAACTTCGTATCTTATACAACCCAAAGTCACATATGTTCATTGATACCCTTCAGAGCTTGGCCTACAGTTCATAGCGATTATGATAAGTAAAAATAATTATTTATATTTAAGGTGGTTATAGCCATACTATCAAACTCAAAAAATATTTCATGCTCAATATTTTTTCAATGTACTTCTATACGCAGTGCTATACAAAAATTCAAAGTACAAGAATAACTAACAAATAAATGCCTTGAAAGCCTGAGCTTCCAATTGCGTGAGCAATTATTTGTATGATTTAATTTTCAAAAAATAATATGGCTAGCCTCTCTTAAATTTTTATATGTTATAGAGAATCGTTAATTAAAATAGGTTCTTTATTTTGCAAATATAAAGTGTAAAATCTTTTTTTTCTTCTATTTACCCTTCATTTCTAAGACCTTACTTAAAAAGTAAGTATAGTGAGAAAGACTCGTCGCTTTCTTTCGCTATGATATACGCAGGTATATAGTTATACAGCTGTAGTCAGCATTTTCATGCTCCACTCCTCTCTCCATAGTCCGAAGGCACATATTCAGTATACCCCTTTCACGCGTCTCCAAAGTATGTGCCTACATGCCTATTTCTGCGCAAATCCGTAGGCACACACTTGGTATATCCCCTTCACGCTTCTCAAATAAAAAAAAAATATGTGCGCCTGATTCAATCGCTTGGCTGCAACAGGGCGCTCGAAACAGTAGCCAAAAGTGAACTCGCGCCGTAGCATTGCAGTCAGCTATCTCTCTTTTAATCTCTGCCTTGAATACGTCATTTATATGTGAATATGGACAGAGTCTCCATAAGTGATTAGTTAGATTCTACTGTTGAAGAAATTCCTGATTATTTTGTAAATCTGTACCTATAATTATTTATTTGTTTTTTGCTATCTTGCAAGTTTTTTCTTTCTAGTTACTGATTCTTCTGAAATGATTACATTTTCGTTATCTGCTTTTCTTTACATTTTTCTTCCTCGTACAAGAAAATTGTAGTTGAGCTTAATTGTTATCAGACATTATTACGTCTAATTTTTTAAAGATGTATTACAACTGTAAAGGAATAATTTTTCTGAAACCAAATAAAACCTACTTGATTCTTGAGCTATTTAAATTTAATATTTTTTTACACACTGTTAACCATAATATAATATTTTTTCTTTGTGCACCTGTAACTAGCTACAAAGTAGAGCGTGTGGATTGAGCATGCTATATTTTATAACGAAAAGCAGTTTTGTGTTGTTTTGTTGTCTTGATACACAAAGAGATGTAGTCGAACTTGGTGTAATGTTGCACGTGAGAACAGCATTTCTATATACAAAGCAGAGTGACGTGCAAGAGAAAAAATAATAGGCCACCGTACGCATTTCATTTTTGACTGCCAGCTGATTTTACTGTGCAGCACACGAAGTTTGTTTTCTCAACTGCTATATATGGTAGTTGTATAAAGTCACATGCTTGCTACCTTACATAGGCTATGTGTTAATGAAAACTTTTGAATACATGCAGTTTAGTTACTTTGGTTCTTACTTTTACGTATTGTTGGAGAAAAATAAGATATTATTTTTAAGTGCATTATCTTTTATGTTACTTTCTCTCCACCAAGTTAGGTATTTACTTTTCTTGTTATCCCAAAAAAATAAGAAAGGTGTCCATTACTAAAGTTTTTGATCACTCTCTTTTTATGAATTAATTTACTTGGGATATAGACAAATTGCAAGTAGCGACAGTTCATTGAGCTACGAAAAATTTTAAACAGAGTGCTCATGACAGAATTGTGATACATGTTGTGTTAAGTTATCTTTTGTTTACTTGTTAAGAGACATTACATTTTTATCGGCCTTTATTTACTTACATGTTTTTCAATTTTTATGTCTAGTTTTAACAACATTGAACAAATATATTTTAACAGTTTTGTAGGAAGATTATACTTTGCATTTCTTACTAGTGAGAGGATTTTTAAAGATTTTGCACTACAAATTTGTTTATTTAAATTCTTACTAGAAATACAAACATTTGTTCAATAAAGTTTTTTTTTAATTGAACTACTAACTACTATTTTAGGTTAAATTATCCTTTCTGATAAGCCAATTTTTTTTATAACTATTTTTATTAATTATAATTTTTTGTAACCTAAGATATTTAAGCCATTTATTAAAAAACTACATTTTATGTATTGAGTTATACGTATAAAGTATGAATTCGTTTTAATAGCATCAAATAGTATTTGTGTATTCTGTGTAACTAGAACTTGACAATGCAAGTTATGGAAAATGGCCCAATCATTCAGCCCAGTCTTTTTATTTATATAATTTTAAGTTTGATCCTTCGTAGTAGGAGAAAAGCTCAAAAACTGTATAATCTGACATATAACATATTTACTTTTTTTTCAATAAACCACAAATAAGATTTAAGAATCGTTGGCCTTGTATCAAAAATAAATAGTTGTAAGCTTTAATAAAAAGCTTAAATGTATCTTAGCTTCGTGCTTGATCCATTTTCTCGTGGCTGTTTTTCTCCTTTCTGCAGTGATCTGAAAATAAAAAAAATTTCACTTTGCCTCTTTCACCATGAATAATAATTTCAAAATCACATTTTCGTTATTATTTATCAAGTTTTCAGTTATCATAAGGTACAACAGTAGATTACTATTGGAAAACGTTAGCTTACGTCTGTACAAAGTGTTAACTTAAAATTTGTGGATAAATGAGTGCTATTGTTGCCCTTATTCTTTTCTTATTGTTCGACCTTATAATACAAAAATCTTTGTTAAGGTAGTAGTCGATCAAAAACACTTTTCTTACAATTTTTCTAAAACTTCGTGTGTGCCTTAAGATTGCTATTATTTATCATGAGCCAAAATTTGAAGAGGCTTAGTGGTATAGTTTTGGAGATATTGAAGTTTTAATGTTGAACTTTTAACACAGGAGGTATAGGAAAGCGCCGGATTGGAGGTCGATTTGTGAACGAAATTGCTTGTATCTCTAAAACGCTTCTTACAATCTTTCGTAAAAAATAGTATAATATAATTTATATTATAAAGCAACTGTGTTTCTAATTCAAAAGGGCTCAGCGGTATAGTTTTGTTGTTCGAGCTTTGCAAAGTTGATAAATTTAGTGAAACTCGCTCCTACAACGTTGTCATATTTCGAGATAGTTGTCGAAGCGATATATATATAGTATACGCATACGCTACAGCGCATTATGGCACGCACTGTAGAGTGCTGGACTACTACCTTAAACAACCATTTAGATAACAAGTCTCAATCGTTAGATAAAGACGGCACCATATTCTACTTAATTTACCCACGAGATAAAAATGTCTATTCTGTTCAAATCTAGTGACAACACGTTGGAATCTTTTATTTTTACGGCAGACACGTTTCTAAAAAACTAATTGTCATATACGATAACCATGATGACGTAAAAACATAAGCCATCAGATAGGTGCAAATAAAATTTATCTCTTCTAAAAAAAAGATTTTTAATAAAAGTAAAAGGTAAGCATGTCTTCTATGCTTACAATTACTTATACAAATATTTATAATTAACGAATTCATTAGTATTTCATTTAAATTAAAAATAAACTACACTAACAATGTATCTAGAAAATTGTTGGCTAACAAACCATAAAATCCATTAGCTACTGACACGTTTTGTTTGTTACAATTTTATCGAAGAAAATTTAAGAATGAAAAACCACTCTATTACAAATATTAAACAATATTTTTCTATTAAAGTAACAAATGTGAAAATTTGTGTGGTTCAAGTAAATAAACAAAAAAAAATGTTACATATGAAATTTTTGATTATCAAAGTAAAAAAAAATTTTGTATCGTACACAACTAATAATACAAATAACCATTTAATAACAAACATCCCACGTAGCTTTTTCAGTTAAGAAACAAGTAAGTAGATTTGTATAGATTAAGTAAAAAGTATAAGTATAACAAATGTTTTTTTTTTACACAAATTAAAGAGTGCAGACATTTTAAAACACAAATAAAGAAAAAATCAACGCCAAAATATATCAGTTTTGTTTTAAAATAACAATCAACAAGTTTTCTACTGACATCTATAAACTTATTAGGAACGAGTTTCTGTGTTGGTAGAGAATGTAAGATAGTGATCCAATTTTTTGTCCCCTTTAGGTCATGTTCTTTTTATATGTCCTATTTATTTTGTAAGTATTCATTAATTTTTATAACATTTTCCTCCTACGTTAAAAATGGCATAACTGTTAATTTTATATTAATGCCTGAGCTTTTGCTTAACAGTCTGGGGACATGATAGAAACGGATAAAGACGGAGCACTGAGCTTTAAATATGGTTTATGATTTTAAGAAAAGTAAGCTAGCTATTCGGCCATCAGTATTTACACTAACAGCACATAACCAGCTAGTTATTTTGGAGTTCAAAGCTGCTTTCCTTTTAAATTAACAAAGTCATTAGGCCAACAGTACTTTTTACAAGCGAAATACAACATAGCGTTAAAAACTCATTTCTAAAATAGGAACCAGTTGCCTGGCCGTTAGCGTTAACGCCAACTGGCACAGAACGAAACGTTGAAATTTAATTTTTCAAACAGAAGCTAGTTGTCCGACTGCAGGCATTTACACTAACATATATACAACAAATCGTTGAAACTTGATCTTTTAAATAGAAGCTCATTGCCAGGTCGTCAGCATTGTCACTAACTTGTATACAACATAGCGTTGAAGATTGATATTTTAGATTGGAGCTTAGTTCCAAGCCATCAGCCTTTACACCAACTAGCACAAAATGTGGCATTAAAAATTGATTCTTTAAATAGGTGCTAGTTCACTGGCCGTTAGTATTTAGACCGTCCTACACACAACTTAGCATGCACCTGTAATTATTCGTTAGTTAATATATTTTTTCTTTCACCACCTGCCTGGCCACCAATATTTAGATGAAATGGCACGTAGTAGTAGCTTTTACACGAAAAATTATGAAGGGGGTGCTTTAAATTTTACTTTAACCATGAACTTGACTTACTTTTATTTTTGTATGAAAAGGTGTACAAAAGTGGCTATTGAGATAAGATCTGAGTGGCCAAATTAAATTTTATTAAGAACAAATCCATCAGATTACCCAGGTCACATATATGCACTGACCAGGTTCTCTAGATCGGGTGTCTAGACTGGCTACGGCCTTAGGTATACATCCAAGCTGGCTTGACCATCAAATAGATTGAAATCGCTTGCTAATGGTGGAACCTATGGGCTTATATAGCCGAAAATCTCAAATTCTTGTGGCAAAGACAGGAAATAATTATCTGCATTCTTCCATCTTCTACTGCGTATATTGTTTTAGTATTGGAAATATATGCTTACTTGCTAAGGAATATTATACGGCATTAATACTGATCCTAACGTTCACTCGTCTGCAATGTCAAATTTCAGTGAGCACACGTTGACTGAACGTATGAATGAAACATCCCAGCTGGAGGGTTTGTTTACTAAACTACGTCACCCTTTCTACAAATAACTGAGACGCAGAAGGAAAGAATAAGAAAGGATTATTGAATGTCCCCGTATAATATATGGAAGAAGTTATCGACGTATAAGAAGGAGCAGAAAGGTATATCAGTTCTTGCATCAGTGTCTTCCTCCGTTTCTCCTTACACCTAAGTCGTGAAAGTATGCATGTATATATGCGCTGTAAGGGTAAAGACCATCAGTACACTAGCAGATTTTTTCCTAACTGCAGAGTACCATGAGCTCTCAATAAATTGCAATGAGTATTTATGTCACCAAGTCCGTAGGTATTACGGCGGAACAATCGACTCACGACACGTTCAGATCTTGGAAAAAATCTGCTGAAGCACTGCTCGTCTTTATCCTTACAGCGAATATGGTGTTTAGGGTCGATATAGAAACACGAACAAAAAAGACCCGGCTCAAACAGTGATAAACCGGGAAAAATTATTTGCACCTAATTTTTGTATGCTTTCTTGTTCAAAATGTAGTAATGTACCTAAAAGTTCACCTTGTCACCCAAGAATGTGGTCAGGTATTGTTTAAACAATTTTTTTTTAAATGATTATATCAAAGTTGTTTTTTTGACCTGAAAAAAATATTATCAAATTCTATGGCACATTTGGCACAAAAAACCAATAAAAAGGTATATACCTAAACCCAACTGTTTTCGAGTAAAAAATTTCCAAAGTTTAAAAAAATGCATTTTTTCCAGTTGTCAGGGCTCCACGGAAATGCTAAAGGAAAATATTTTCATATGTTACAACGCACGATCATAAACTGTAAGCCCTTCTCTACAATCTCCAAAAAAGAAAAAGTCAAAAAGTTGAATGGCAAGATTGTTTTTTGTAATAAACGTTCAGGGCGTTTCAGCACGCACTCCCGCGTAAGTGTGTACCTATATATACGTTTCCTGGCTCAGCGTGTAGTGACCACATATAGGTACACACTTACGCGGGAGTGCGTGCTGAAACGCCCTGAACGTTTATTACAAAAAACAATCTTGCCATTCAACTTTACGACATTTTTTTTTTGGAGATTGTAGAGTAAGGCTTACAGCTCATGCTCGTGCGTTGAAACATATAAAAATATTTTCCTTTAGCATTTCCGTGGAGCCCTGACAACTGGAAAAAATGCATTTTTTTAAACTTTGGAAATTTTTTACTCGAAAACAGTTGGGTTTAGGTATATACCTTTTTATTGGTTTTTTGTGCCAAATGTGCCATAGAATTTGATAATATTTTTTATAGGTCGAAAAAACAACTTTGACAAAATTGTTTGTAAAAAAATTGCTTAAACAATACCTGACAATATTCTTGGGCGGCAAGATAAACTTTTAGGTACATTACTATATTTTGAACAAGAAAGCACAAAAAAAATTGGGTGCGAATAATTTTTCCAGGTTTATCACTTTTTGAGCTCGGTCTAAAAAGAGAGATAAAAGAAGAGAGGAAGGGAAGAAAAAGTAGGTGCATCTAGCGTAGCCTCGATGTAAAATATACTCGAGATCTATTTAATTTTTGGAATAAGTGTTAACATTAAAGCTACAGGACTCAATGTAAATAAATTTTTATACTTCTTTATCAACACCAGGATACGTTAATATAAAGTCTGAAAGTCTACCAGATAGGCTTAAAGCTCATAAGAAAGGGATGAAGATTAAATGTGGTCAGGTAATAAACCACTCTTTCAATCTAATAGGCTTTGAATAAGTGTTAATATTATAGCTACAGGACTAAATGTAAATAAATTTTGACTCTTCTTTATCAACACCAGGGTACGTTAATATGGAGTCTGAAAGTCTACCAGAGAGGCTTAAAGCTCATAAGAAAGGAATGAAGATTCAATGTTGTCACGTAATAAACCACTCTTTTAATCAAATAGGTTCCAAGCAAGTATGAAAGACTCCGAGAGTCCAGACTGCATTAAAAGGCACCCTCAATCTTTATTATTTCAAATGCCGTATACAAAGCCTTAAAGAAACAATTACCTTTTAAAATTTTACATCTTTAAGTGTTGACTTTTGTTTATT